CTGTGATCTTACACGATCGGGACTTGTTACACTCAGATCAGACTTGATTGGGGACTTAGATCAGGGACTTCTGGGATCAGGGACTTGAAGCACAGATCGTGACTTTGCTATACCAGATCGGGACCTCACACCTGATCGGGGACCTGCCATACCAGGATCGGGGACTTTGCTACACTGGATCGTGGACCTGCCATACCAGACTGTACCTTGCCATACTTGACTCCAGGGACCTTGCCATACTCCACCAGGACCTGCCATACCAGACTGTGACCGTTGTTCAGATCGCACTTGCCACACTTCAGACTCAGGACTCTGTTATACCTGTACCAGGACCTTTGGGTTGGCTACCTGATCGTGACCTGCTACACTCAGGATCAGGATCGTGCTTATACTAGACTCAGGGACCTTGCTTATACCAGATCAGGACCTTGTTACACTCAGATCAGGACCTGCTGAGCCCAGATCGTGACTCTGCTATACCAGATCGTGACTTTGCTATACCAGATCAGGACTCTTGCTACCAGACTGTGACCTGGCACCAGAGATCAGGGATGCTGTTACACCAGATCAGGACTCTGCTGCTACCTCAGACTGTGGGACTTTACATACCAGACTGTGACCTCATGACACCAGATTCAGGACCCACCAGACTGTGACTTGCTATACTAGATCAGGACCCCTGGTTATACTCAGATCAGGAATTCTCGGCATACTAGATCAAAATTTTGCTATACTCTGATCAGACCTTTTGTTATACCAGATCAGGGACTTTGCTTTATACTCAGGATCAGGACTTTGCTATACCAGATCAGGACCTTGTTGTTTCAGACTGGGGACTTTCATACTGGATCGGGGGACCCTTTACATACTAGACTGGGGACTTTGGTTACACTTGATCAAAATTTTACATACCGGATCGTGACTCTACACCTGACTGTGGACTTTGCTTGTACCCAGACCAGGACCTGTCATACTCAGATCAGGACTCTTGCCCAGACTAGTGCACTGGTTATACCTGACTGTGACCTGGTTATTCTGGTGACCAGGACCTTACAGGCCTCAGATCAGGGACTTATTACACTTGACTCAGGACTTTTGCACGGATCAGGGACCTTGTTATACTAGATTAGTACTTTTGTTTATACTCGATCAGGCACTTGTTATACTAGATCAGGACTTTGCTATACCACTCATTCTTATGGCTTAATCGCCTGTATATGACTATTTCAGCCACTTCATTCTCTGTTGTTCAGAAGGACTTTCACGCCACCATTCTTATGTCTCCTCACCAAGAATCGTCTGTATATGACTTCGTCACACTATTCTTATATTTTCAAGCACCGCCCAAGGCGATTGCCGCCACCATTCTTATGGCTCTCTGCTGCCGTTAATCGCCCAGTATATGATTACCATTCTTATGGCCTCTGCCGTTAACGCCCAGACTGCTGCCACCATTCTATCGCCCTGGGCACCATGCTCACTTTATGGTCTCTGCTGTTAACGCGCCCGTAACGCGATTGCCACCACCTATGGGTTCTGCTGGCCAAGTAATCAGTCCAGAAGGCCATTGCCGCCACCATTCTACGCCCCTGCCCTCAACACGCCCAAGATTGCCACCACTCTACGTCTCGCCGCCAACCGCCCAAGGACACACCATTCCCATGGCCCCACGCCGCCGTTAACGCCCGCAAGATTGCCGCCACCATTCTACGCCCGCAGTTAACCGCCCGCATGATTGCCGCCACCATTCTTATATTCTCCTGCCGCCGTTAACGTCTGTAGCGATTGTCACACTCATTCTTATATTCTCGTCAGCCACAATCGTCGCGATCAGTTTCACCATTCTTTATGGTTCTCCTGTCAGCCGTTAACGAAGGTTATTGCCGCCACCATTCTATGGCCTCCTGCCGTTAACGCCCGTTGTTCTGTTGGTCTCATGTTAGTATAACAATCATCCCATTACTGGGTAGCTTATTTAAATCATCTTGCAGTCACAGGAAAGACTTCTGTCAGCTAATGATTTTTTACAATTAAAATCAATAAATCTTTTAGTGATGGTCACCAAAATCGATAAATATGTTACATAAATTTATCTGTACACCTCCAACACATCCCCACACCCCACATCCCCACACATCCCACACACCCCTGGCAACCCCACACCCCCCACACCCCCATCCATCCCCATACATACCCACACCTCCACACATCCCCATCCATCCCCACACAACCCTGGCACCCTCACACCCCCTCCTCCACATCCCCTGGCACCCACCCCACACATCCCCACACCTCCCACATCCCCATCCATCCACACACCCCACACACCCCACACCTCCACACACACCCCACACCCCACATCTCTACACCCTCCCCACACATCTCACAACTCCCACACACTCCCCACACCTCCCACACATCCCATCCATCCCCACACCTGCACCCCCACACCTCCCACACACCCACACCCTCCCCACACATCCCCACACCTCCCCACATCCCACACATCCCCACACATCCCCATCCATCCCCACACACCTGACACCCTCACACCTTCTCCCACAACCCCACACCCTCCCCACATCCCCATCCATCCCAACCACTTCAGCACACTTCACTTTTCATACATCTCATATCTCCTGCCATTACTTCTAAAGAATTCTTAAACTAGCTTTAAATGATTGTTTGTTTCTATTAGTCAACAATGGATGGTGGTTCACCTTTTGTCCCATTGCCACAACCCTCTGTCACCATGAGAAGCTTTGGGTCTCTGAATGTCCTCTAATTAGTTTCCTTTGTCTTCTATTGTTTATTGTTGATGACACTTTTTAATTTCAGATCAATTGATTACGCCTTATGTTCCTAAACTATTTAATTAAACACATGGCAACATCAACGCATTTAGAATTCAGAAAATATCTTCCATTCCTTGATGTTATTATCCACCGTCTTACAATGTTCTGAGACAGCCTTATGTACAGAAACCAACTTCACTGGGTTTGAGTTCAAAATTTCATTTTTATTCTCTCTGTCATAAAGATAATCTAGTACGACTTACCTTAAAATAGAGCTCTAACATCTTTGTCTGCTATTTCCACTTGGACATTGGAACTCATTAAAATACATAAAGCAAATCTACTAATAATGGCTTCCCAAGAGATCTAAGCAGACACTTGCATTGCAAACCCAATTAGGTTTTTTCAGTCCTGCCAGCCCAGCCACACACTGTCCTTGGGGCCACTATCCTTCCATCCCAAAATAATAGTTCACCTGCTTCACCCTTGAAATAAACTTAAGTTTTCAATGAATTCTCAACCAAATTTCTTAGACTAGCTCCTTAAACCCAGAGTTCACCACAGTTCCTCAAAATTAAAGACACCATACCCACATACCCGTAATCCTAGCCTTATCAATTTGATGTTATTGTAGGTTGTTATGTTACAGTGCAAAACTAAAGACATTTTGATAACCCTTTTGGATAGATTTAGACTTGGTTCTTACAGCTCTGATTTTTTTGTCATATTTGTATTTATTCATCAAAGAAATAATTGCTGAATAAAGAGAAGAAATGTTTTATATATGCCTCAAGTGAGACTATAACTTTGTTAATATGATTATACATTGTTTAACCTATTTCAGTACTTTCTATATTTTCAAAGCAGATGTAAACAAAATTAATGTAAAGTGTACACACATACACACACACTTGAACACCACGTCCTCGACTGTGAAGACAGACCTTTAGACAGGTCCACAGACACTGTGAAATAGCACAACACTCTCAATGGCAAACAGCCGACATATTAAGATTGTATCCACTTTGCACTTAGCAACTATATCAATTCTACAGAACCAATAAGCAAGAATGCTTAGAACACTTCACGAATTGACAATGTGAGGCCAGATACTGCCTCACACCTGTACCCACGAATAATAGCTACCTTATGCATAGAACTAAACAATGTAATGAAACATCAGTAACATCCAGCTAAACATTCCAAGCAACAAATCCCACCTTCCTCCACAGCTACCCCAAACCCCAACCCCACCCTCCCTAGCCACCTCCCCACAACCCCCCCAGCCATGCACAACCCTCTCCCCAGCCACCTCACCCCCTCCCCCAGCTACACCCCACCCTCTTTCCTCCCCAGCTCGCCCAACCCTGCCCCAGCAACTCCCCACCCTCCCTCCCCAGCCACTCCACCCTCCTCCCCCCAGCCACCTGCCACCCTCTCCTCCCCCAGCCACCAACCCCCCTCCCCAGCTACCCCCACCACCTCCTTCCCCAGCTGCCCCACAACCTCCCAGCCACCCCCAACCCAACCTCCCAGCCACTCCCAACCTCCCTCCCAGCCACCGAACCTCCTCCCCAGCCACCCCACCCCTTCCTCCCCAGCCAACCCCAACCCCTCCCCCTCCCCACACGCCAACCTACCAGCTCCCAACCCCTCCCCAGCCACCTCCCAACCCACCCCTCCCACACCCAACCACCCCAACCACCAAACTTCTTCCCCAACCACCCAAACCCACTCCCCAGCTACCCCAACCCTCCCCAACTACCCCCAACCTCCTACCACCCTCCCAGCTACTCCCCAACTCTCTCCCAGCCACCTCCCAATCCTCCTCCCCAGCCACCCCCACCCTCCCCTCCCAAACCCCCAACCTCCCTCCCAGCCACCCCCAACCTCTCCCCATCTACCCCACCTCCCTCCCCAGCCACCCCAAACAACAATCCTCCCCCAGCTACCCCAACCTCCATCTCACCCCAAACCCTCCCCAGCCACCAACCCCTTCCATCCCAAGCCACCCCCAACCCTACCTCCCCAGCCACTCCCCAACCAGCTCCTCCCCCAGCCACCCCCAACCTCCCCTCCCCAGCCCCCAACCTCCCCTCTCCTCCTCCCAGATACCCCAACCCCCCTCCCCAGCCATCCCCAACCCTACCCTCCCCAGCTACCCCACAACCCTCCCCAGCTACGCACAACCCTCCCCTCCCCAGCTACCCCCACCCTTCCCTCCCCAGCTACCCCACCCTTTCTCCCAGCTACGCCCAACCCTCCCGCCCCAGCTACCCCCACCCTCCTCCCCCAGCTCCCCCCACCCTTTCCTCCCCAGCTACCGCCACCCTTCCCTCCCCAGCTACACCTCCCCTGGCTACCCCCACCACTCCCCGTTACCTTCTCCCCAGCTACTGCCACCTCCCCTCACAACTGCCCCCTCCTTCCCCAGCTGCCCCAACCCTCCCCAGCTGCCCCTAACCCAACCCTCCCCAGCTACCCCCACCCTCCCCCCCCAGCTACCCCGAACCCTCCTCCCAGCTCCCCCCACCCTTCCCTCCCAACACCCCCAACCTCCTTCCCCAGCTCCTAACCCTCCCCAGCTACCCCCACCCTCCCTCCCAGCTACCCCCAACCCACCTTCCCCAGCTACCCCACCCTCCCCAGCTACAACCCTCTCTTCAGCTACCCCCAATCCTACCCCCCCAGCTCCCCCAACTTTCCTCCCCAGCTACCCCCCAATCCTCCTCCCCATTTTCCCCTCCCCCAACTTTCCTCCCAGCTACCCCAATCCTCCCCTCCCCACTTCCCCCTCCCCAGCCACCCCAACCCTCCCTCCCAGCTACCACCAGCCTCCCCTCCCAGCTACCCCCACCCTTCCTCCCCAGCCACCCCAACAATCCCTCCCCAGCTACCCCTAACCTTCCTCATTCCCCAGCCACCCAAACCTCCCAGCTACCCCCAACCCTTCCCATCCCCAGCTACCCCCAACCACTCCCCAGCTACCCCCAACCGCTCCTCCCCACCCCCAACCCTCCCTCCCCAGCTACCCCACCCTCCCCTCTCTCCCTCCCCCAGATGCCCCAACCCTACCCTCCCCAGCCATCCCCAACCTCCCCTCCCCAGATACCCCCATCCCCTGCCTCCCCAGCTCCCCCAACCCTCCTCCCTAGGTGCCCCCCACCCTCCCTCCCCAACCCACCCTTCAACCCTGCCCCCCCCAACTACCCCAACCTCCTCCCCAGCCACCTTCAACCTCCCCTCCCCAGCTACCACAACCCTCCTCTCCCCAGCCACCCCAACTCTCCCTCCGCAGCTACCCCAACCTCCCTCCCCAGCCACACCCCCCAGCCCTCCCCTGTCTCCCCAACCTCCCTCCCAGCTACCCCTACCCAGCTCCCTAACCCAACTCTCCCACAGCTACTCCCAACCCTCCTCCCCAGCTATCCCAACCCTCCTCCTCCCCCTTCCCCCAGCCCTCCCCTCCCCAGCCCTTCAGCCTCCTCCCCAGCTGCACCCCCAACCTCCTCCCAGCTGCCCCCCCAGCCACCCGTGCCCCCTACCCTCCCCAGCTAGCCCCTACCCTCCCCAGCTGCCCCCCAACCTTCCCTCCCAGCCCCCAACCCTCCCCTCCCCAGCTACCCCCTAACCTCCACTCTCCCCACCCCTAACCGTGCCTCCCTACCCAGCTAACCCCAACCCTCCCTCCCCATCTACCCCACCAGCCTCCCTCTCTACCTGCCTCTAACCAGGCCTCCCTCCCCAGCTACCCAGCCCCTCCCCAGCTACCCAGCCTCCCCTCCCCAGCTTACCCCCCTCACCCAACCTCGCCTCCCCAGCTACCCCAACCCTCCAACCCTCCCCTTCCCAGCTGTCCTCCCCTCCCACCTACCCCCTAACCAAGCCCTCCCTCCCCTTCCCCCCCTCCTCCCCAGCTAACCCCCAACCTCCCTCCCCAGCTACCCCCTAACCCTCCCCTCTCCCCCTCCCCCTAACCAAGCCCTCCCCCCCCAGCTACCCCTAACCCAACCCTCCCTCCCCAGTCCCCCAACCTCAACTCTCCCTCTCCAGCTACCCCCAACCCTCCTCCCCAGCCACATCCTTCCCTCCCCAGCTCTACCCCCAACAGAGCCTCCTCCCCAGCTCCCCCCTAACCCAGCCCTCCCTCCCCAGCTACCACCCCCCTCCCCAGTTACCCCCAGCCCTCCCTCCCCGCACCCACCCTTCCCTCCCCAGCTCCACTCAAACTCAACCCTCCCTCCCCAGCTGCCCTAACCTCCTCCCTGCACACCCAGCCCCTCCCCAGCTGCCCCCAGCCTCCCTCCCAGCTACCCTCCCTCCCCACTCACCTCCTCCCCAGCTCCGCCCCCACCCTTTCACCCCAGCTGCCACCAACCCCTCCCTCCCCAGCTACCCCCAACCTCAACCCCTACCCCAGCTACCCCACCAACCTCCCTCCCCAGCCACCCCAACCCTCCTCCCAGCCACCCCCAGCCCTCCTCCCCCAGCTTCCCCCAGCCCTCCCCTCCCCAGCTTCCCTAGCCCTCCTCCCCCAACTCCCCCAACGCTCCCTCCCCAGCTACCCCAGCACCCCAGCCCTCCCTCCCCAGCTACCCCCCAACCTCCTCCCCTAGCTACCCCCAACCCTCCTCCCCAGCTACCTCCAGCCTCCCTCCCCAGCTACCCCCCAACCCTCCCTCCCCAGCTACCCCAACCTCCTGGTTTTTCCACCTAATAGTGTTAACACCGAACTCTACCTGGGTGTTGGGTTGGAGTAAGGTGTTAGAATGAGTTAGTGTTAGGTTTGGATTAAGATTTTGATTTGTGTTTCCTTTGATTAGGGTTTAGTTAGTGTTGGGTTAGGTTAGCGTAGGTTGGTTAGTGTTAGGTTGAGTTAGTGTTAGGTTTGGTTAGTGTTGGGTTGGGTTAGTGTTGGTTATGTTAGTGTTGTTGATATTTGGGTTATGTTGGTGTTAGGTTAAGTTGAGTGTTAGGTTTGGTTAGTGTTAGGTTTGGTTGGTGTTAAGTTAGGTTTGTGTTACATTTGATTAGGTTTGGTTGGCGTTAGGTTAGGACCTAGCGTTGGTTAGATTAGCTTAGGTTGATTTTTGTTTGGTTGGATTGGTTAGGTTAGGTTATAGAGTTGAATCAAGTGTATGGCGTAAACGTTGCTCACGAGCCTCCATAATTCCCCCATCTATTCTATACTGTTTTACATTATATAGGTGACGAGAAGTAACCCCATAACAACGACGTACCACACTCATGTTGCCACCACCACTACGGCAAGATACAGTGTATTTTGGCAGGTAATATTGGCGGGAACTGAGATAAATATTGTTCACTAAGTCTACACTGTATTTATATTGTCTTTGTCTATGTATGATACCCAGGAAATTATTGTGTGCGTTTGTGTGTCGTGTTTTTGTGTGTGTGTGTGTGCATCGCTCAACAGTTCAGTTTAATAATAAATCCTTGAGTACGATGACTGAACCTCTCTAGTACGATAACCTAACCTCTCTAGTACGATAACTGAACCTCTCTAGTACGATAACCTAACCCTCTCTAGTACGATGACTGAACCTCTCGATGACTGAACCTCTCTAGTACGATGACTGAACCTCTCTGTAGTACGATGACTGACCTCTCTAGTACGATGACTGAACCTCTCTAGTACATGATTCAACCTCTCTAGTACGATGCTGAACCTCTCTAGTACGATAACTGACCACTCTCTAGTACGATACCTTCCTCTAGTACGATGACTGAACCTCTCTAGTACGATGACTGAACCTCTCTAGTACGATGACTGAACCTCTCTAGTACGATGACTGAACCTCTCTAGTACGATGACTGAACACCTCTAGTACGATGACTGAACCTCTCTAGTACGATGACTGAACCTCTCTAGTACGATAACTGAACCCTCTCTAGTACATGATGAACCTTAGTACGATGACTGAACCTCTCTGACTTAGGAATTATCGTACGGTACTCAAAAGGTTGAATTATTGAATTATCGTAATGCTTTTCAGGGGCAAAGTTATTTGGTTCATTATAATATACATACATACATATCTATATACATATCCATATACATATACATATATATTATATCATTATGTCCATCAAATGTAATGTATATTTTCAGCCACCGGCTGCAACTATTAATAAACCGTTTATTATTATATATTATTATTATTATTATTATTACATACATAACAACATACATACATTTCCACATACATACATACATACATACACCATACATACTTAAACTATCTCAGGGAGTTCAGTGATACAACTTTCTCACGGGCGAGCGTTATTGATGTCACACACAAGCATTATTGATGTCACAGACAAGCATTATTGATGTCACGGACAAGCATTATTGATGTCACGGGCGAGCATTATTGATGTCACACAAGCATTATTGATGTCACAGACAAGCATTATTGATGTCACGGACAAGCATTATTGATGTCACGGGCGAGTATTATTGATGTCACGGACAAGCATTATTGATGTCATGGACAGTATTTGATGTACGTGAAAGCATTATTGATCTGGAGAGGTATTATTGATGTCACGGACAAGGCATTATTGATGTCACGGACCAAACGTTATTGATGTCACGATCAAGCATTATTGATGTCACGGGCGAGTATTATTGATGTCATGGACAAGCATTATTGATGTCACGGGCAAGTATTATTGATGTACAGACAAGCATTATTGATGTACGGGCGAGTATTTTGATGCGGACAAGTATTATTGATGTCATGGACAAGTATTGATGTCATGGACAAGCATTATTGATGTCACGGGGCAGTATTATTGATGTCACGGACAAGCATTATTGATGTCACGGCGAGTATTAATGTCACGGACAAGCATTATTGATGTCACGGGCGTGTTATTGATGTCACGGACAGTATTATTGATGTCATGGACAAGTATTATTGATGTCATGGACCAAACTATTGATGTCACGGGCGAGTTTTATTGATGTCACGGACAAAGCATTATTGATGTCACGGGCGAGTATTATTGATGTCACGGACAAGCATTGTTGATGTCACGGGCGAGTATTATTGATGTCACGGACAAGTATTATTGATGTCATGGACAAGTATTAATGATGTCATGGACAAGCATTATTGATGTCACGGGCGAGTATTATTGATGTCACGGACAAGCATTATTGATGTCACGGGCGAGTATTATTGATGTCACGGACAAGCATTATTGATGTCACGGGCGAGTATTATTCATGTCACGGACAAGTATTATTGATGTCATGGACAAGTATTATTGATGTCATGGACAAGCATTATTGATGTCACGGGCGAGTATTATTGATGTCACGGACAAGTATTATTGATGTCAACAAGTATTGATGTCACGGCGAGTATTATTGATGTCACGGACAAGTATTTTGATGTTACAACCAAGTATTATTGATGTCACGGACAAGTATTGATGTCATGGACAATATTGATGTCATGGAATTGATGTCACGGGCGGTATTATTGATGTCCGGACAAGCATTTTGATGTCACGGGCGAGTATTGTTCATGGACCAAGCATTATTGATGTGCGGGCGGTATTATTGTGTCACGGACAAGTATTATTGATGTCATGGACAAGTATTATTGATGTCATGGACATTATTGATATCACGAGTATTATTGATGTCACGGACAAACATTATCCGAATTAACGAATCACAGACAAGCAATTGATGACATGAACATTATTGATCGACAAGCATTATTGATGCCGATATTGATATCACAGAAGTCTATTGACGGAAGTATT